TCTGCTTTATTTCATGTCTATTTTCCAGTCTTCCAGGCTTCTGGTGGAGCTTAGTAGCCTGAATTAGTATCTTAAATCTCCTGTTTGATCCATGTTATAATAAAATCTTTCTTTTCAGAATTTAAATCCTTTTTTTTTGGTATATAGATTATAGTGTGCCCTAGAATGTCTTTGACCTTTTGGAATGCTTAACAGTGCATTCAGTTGATGGTTCAATTAACAATGAGGTTTTCATTGCTGATAATTACTAGTTTTAGCTGATTGAGGTCCTAGAGAAGCCATACATTATGCTTTTATGAAGACTTGGTATATCGCTGTTGAATGTTGAGAAGTCATATTCCTGTCATAAAAAGCTGTTGCATTTTGATTGTAATTTATTCAGTGGAAAATTGAAATGTTGTGCCATCCAAAATTCCATTTTGGCTTCACTTTGGTTTGTTATTGCAGAGAAATTCCGCTTCAGTGCTGAATTTATTGAAATGAGGCGGCAAGCATTGGATATATTTGTAAATAGGATAGCATCACATCATGAACTTCAGCAAAGTGAGGACCTGAGGTTATTTTTGCAGGCAGAAGAAGAGGTGATGCCTCATCCTAAGTAGACTTTATTCCTCTTTGAAGCTGTGTCAGTTTTAGATGTTATTTGCTTTGGTGCTCCTCCCCCCCTTCTACCATTGTGCTGTGTTACTGCACTGTTTTTTTAGTCCAAATCTTCTGTTCAAACTAACCATTGTCACTAAATTAATTGTTCAGTTTGGTGGTGAGTCTCTTTAATTGATCTGGAATGCTTGATTTCATATTTTGTAGCATATATTAGTGATTGATATATAGAAAATTGAATTATGCATTATGGTAACTGATTCCATAAGTACCTTGCCACCACTGTTCAGGCTGGAGAGTGCGGGATATGGAATGTGCAAGAGTTATTAATATTGTTTTCTATTTTTATTTTTATTTTTTCCCTTTCTGTCATATGTATGATGTAGGAGTATCTATTGTATTTGTAAGTACTCAATTTATGCTCTTTTCCCCACATTTGACTTTTAAGAAGGAAAATAAGAACCTAGATTAATCTTGATTCCATTTAACGTACTACACAGACAATGGAAAGATTAAGGTCACATGAGACTGGCATATTCAAGAAGAAGCCATCCGATCTAATGCAGATTTTTAAGGTACGACATGTTCTAATTTGTCTTGGAATGTGGATGGTTTTTTGCTAGGTTGAAATCTGTCAAATGAATAATTTTAAATTTGAATCACACTAATTTCCTGTATTAAACAACTCAGCAATAAAGCCTCTTTTTTCTTCCCTGTTAGTAGCTATGAACACATGAGCCTGCATGAAATATATTGGAAATAATGAAAATAAAATAATGTAATTTAAATATCTACACATTGATTAATAAGCTCAAAGTATTTGTTTTATTGAGTTCAAGAAGAAAAGATTAGGGTGTGATAATAGTTGTGTGGAATTAGACCTTTTAATTTTAAAATCATTAAGAGAAAACATTCAATAAAAAAATATATCTGAAAAGGCAAAGTAGAGACTGTGGGATAGTGGAAGGGAGTTTTTGTTTTTAATGGAGTCTAGAAATTCAGTTTCATATTCAACTATCTTTGTTTTAGATTCAAAAGAGGAGGCTATAAGAAAGTATACAAAAGGGTAAATGAATGTTACTAGTTACTACTGAGTATCTTCTTTTAGTATAAATAAATTCAGACAAAGATGGCTAGCTGATTTGAAACTGTTGCTGAAACATGCTTTTTGCTTTTAACAATTCAGTTTGTCATGGATGATATATAGACCCATAGAATAGAGCAATGACCTTGGAAATTACCTGGGTTTTGTCCTGGATACACACCTCTGAAATGTACTCTGTTGTCTGTACTTGATAATTGCGTTTTGCTACATAATTGTGAAATTCTGCCACTTCAGTATTTCACTCTCAGATTATCAGTTTCTTCGATATGAATATGTCCAATGTAAACAATCTCTCAGATTACAATTTTAATCTATTTTAGAAATTTGCTTTTGCTAACCTATCAGGTTGAGTGTGCTGTCCATCCAGGTTTCTTATTTGTTGTTTATGTGAATGTGAATTTTGACAGGATGTGCAATCTAAAGTGAGTGACGCTGTCCTTGGGAAAGAGAAGCCAGTAGAAGAAACAGATCCTGAATATGAAAAAATGAAACATTACATCTTTGAGCTTGAAAACCACTTGGCTGAAGCTCAAAAGCATGCATACCGTCTTGTGAAGAGGCACAGAGGTGATGATTGAATTTAAGATTTTTTGTTTGGTTCTTATTATTGTCTTCTGTATCTATTGCTTTTCTGTTTTACAGTTTTGTTCTTCCTTTTTACGTTTTATCCACTCTTCTGGTAAGATCAATTCATAATTCACAATGTGCATGCAGAGTTGGGTCAATCACTGTCTGATTTTGGAAAAGCAGTAAAACTTCTAGGCGCTTCTGAAGGAGATGCTCTTGGGAAAGCATTCTCTGAACTAGGGATAAAGTCAGAGATTTTATCAGCGAAGCTGCAAAAGGAGGTAATTCTCATGCGTTTGCTGTTGCACATCATTTTACTGGTTATTCCCGTGTGCTTGCATGATGATATACATGTTGTTAAGGGATGAAAATTGAAACAAGCTATCCTACTATGACTATATCGAGCAGGCACATCAGCTCTTGATGAATTTTGAAGAACCTTTGAAAGATTATGTCCGTGCTGTGCAATCTATTAAGGTAGTCCTGGTCCTGTTTTCTTTCATCATTTAATAACCTACTTCGTCTAACTTGATCAAAATATTTTTCGCTTGATTCTTGAAATATATATCCCCATTGCCTTAGTAAAATAGTTGTGCAAATATGGGAACCCTAACATTAATGCTCCTCCAACCAGCCCAAAAATGGATTGTTATACCTTATTTTTTTCATTCTAATGCTCTTGTTTCACATTCTGAAACAGGCAACAATAGCAGAGAGGGCCAATGCCTTCAGGAGACAATGTGAACTGGCTGAAACAATGAAGCTAAAGGAGATTAATCTGTATGCTCTTGTTTCTCTGTTTTTATTATTTGCCTAATATAGTATCTTAAGCAGAATAGGTTTTTTTTTTTTTTTTTTTCCCAATCATTCTATGGCTTGAATTAACATTCATGATCTGTTGTTTAATATCCCTTTCCCCAGACATGTCTGTATATGTGAATGCAAATTAGCCTTATTTGTCTTATATTCTGCTATATGAATAAATTTAGTACTTTTTTCCCTTCAAATCTGGCTGATGATGGGCTAGAAGACTGCTTGGTGCCATATATTCTGATATGGATATTCTTTATTATCGTTTGCAACGCAGTGACAAACTCATGCTGATTCGATCTGATAAAGTTGCAGAAGCTGAGCAAGAATATAAAGAGGCAAGTTTGCTTAAATATTAATCTCCACTGATGAGAATTATAAATTTACAGTTTGTTTGGCTTGACTGACATGATTTTGCCATGCAGTTGAAGGCAGAGAGTGAACAGGCGACAAAGACATTTGAGACGATTGTGAAACTAATGAATGAAGAGATGGGGCGTTTTCAGGAACAGAAAACATTAGATATGGGAATTGCTTTCCATGAATTTGCCAAAGGTCAGGCACGTCTAGCAAATGGTATTGCAGATGCTTGGAGAAGTTTGCTTCCTAAACTGGAAGCATGTTCCTCCTCGTAGAAAATTAATCAACGAGTTCTGCAGAGCATAGATAAAGTACTCTTTCATGGGTGTTACAGGGACTAGGGTATGGCAGACGCAGGTCGCAGCTCTTGTTTTGTAAAAGAGCTTACAGAAGTTATCTGCTGTTTCGAATTATGTTGTAAAAGATGTGTTTTTCTTTCTGCTCGATTTTGTACAAATTTTAAACAAAGTAAAAGGTTAACTATCCGCTATTTTATTTTCTATTTTGCTGCCGTTGCTTTTTCGATCTCTCTCTCTCTTCCTCTCTGTTGTATTGTATATAGTCACAACGGATTTGCAAGCACAAAAATGAATGTTGTTTTTGACTTGGCACAAACTTTTAACAAGTTACATAAATCTAATTCATCTTGTGCAGGAGTGATACTTTTGGTTGGAAATGTTGCCGGATTTACCTGGCAGTGTGCAAGCATTTTTTTTTAGAGTGATAGCCAGACTTTTCTTCAATATATTTTTTCTTTACTGGTTAACATTTATTAAAAATTGTATAATTAGAGAAAATTATTTAATTAAGTGTCCTTTATAACATTTTGTAATTTTTAATAAATTTTAATTTACAGTGGTCTTTAAAAGAATTTATTAGAGTGCTGTTAATGTTTTTCCCTTTATGAGTAAGGTCATCACGTCTTTAAAAACTAATTTTCAAAATGTGATTTATAATAGTTGATTAACAAGGTTTAAGTGTTTGATGCCTTGATGCAATGTAAAAAATTCAGACTCTTTCTAATTTTAGATTTAACAATTTTATAATTGTACAAATAACTATGTTTCATGTAACCCATTTTTCCCCCTCGCATTCCTCGTTCTTTTATAGGTTCTGAATTTCTCATTCAACTTTCCCATGATTACCACATATATTTTGTTTGAGCACAGAATTATCATTCTTTTATTCAACGATGACTTACTTTTATTGTGGATCTATAATTAAAAAACCCTTAGTATTTATAATAATTAATTATTATAATTTGTCATTTACTTTTGAAAAAGTTACACTGATGTCTTATTAAAATTAAATTCTTATTTCCAAAATCCAAACTAATTAAAAATTATACTGATGAAAGTTGAGCCATGTCCATCAAGTATTACAAATCACATTTTGAAATTAGTGTATAAACAGTATTTATGCAAGTATAACTAACATTTCTCTATTAATTTTAAACGTAACCAATATTTAGCCTTTTTTTTCTTATATTATAATATTCTTAGGTGTTTATTTATTTATAAATATCTTGTGGCGGAAACCTGAGGACAAAATGAACGAAAGGAAACATTATCCATCGTCCAGCAGCACGGGATAAAAATAAAAAATAAAATAAAAATAAAAATGATATTAGTCCTTAGCGAGAATTTAGAGGGAGAGGCATGGCGATGGCTTCATGCAGTAGCATAGGGCAGAGTGTGTACCCGAGGGTGAGTGGAGCCAATTTCCACCTTCCAACTTCTTCCCCTTCCCTCGTTCCTATTCACCACAACAGCCACACCCATTCCTTTTTAAAGCTCCGCAATCCCATTCATCTCACCACGCTGCCCAAAGCCTCCGCCCGCACCGACGGCCCCACCGCCACTGACGACGACGGTGTCTCTTTAGGCACCATGAAGCTTCCCGTTGACACCGACCTTCAGAGATTCGATTCCTTGTTGTTTCAGGTAAATTCCATTCTCGTCATAATTAATATACTGTTTCAGGATTAAAACTTTTTTATTATTTACTTTTTTGTGATTATTGAGTACTGTTTGGTTTACGTTTACGTTTACGTTTACGTGGTTTTCCCTTGCCTTGGCGTGTGATTCTGACAGTGGGCTAACAGTCTTTGCCAGGGAGCCAATCTCCCCCTTCCCGTGCCTCTCAAGGTATTATTATTATGCTCTTTCTTAATGCTTTATTTTAAAATTATCATCTTTTTAAATCATTTTTTGGGCAAGTTTTGAAATAAAAACTCCTGTTTTAAGTCACATCCCACGCACGTGCTAAACATAAACAATGCAATGACCATTTTTTATAACAAATAATCTATGCCATATATTTTATTTTTTTTACACTAAACCTAGCTTATAAGCTATTTTAACTAATTAAAATTGCTTATAAACTTCTAATGCCACTTACCAAACACACTCTTAACAAGAATTGGGTTTGCCTAGTAAAGGGTGGCATTGATTCTTTTCGAAGGTTGCTATATGTTGGTGTAAATTTTGTGTGGCAAATCTTGTTTTCTGTCTACATATTTTTGTTTTCTTCCCATTATTCACAGTGGGACATGATCAGTCATGGAATGTGATCTCATTGTTGCCAGAAAATCTCTTGGAGAAATTAGAAATAAAGCTAATGATTAGTTCATTGTCATAGACACGGTTAACGTTAGTCCTAGCTACTTCTCTGGCTGTTTGTAAAACACAACTCTGCTAAATTGTGCTTGAAGTACCTCATGTTCATGGCTGATGACTTTGTTACGTTTATACGTTTTGCCTTTTTGGAAACTGAGAAGTGATTGAATCATTGTCATAGACTCATAGCTGTTTGTTCAAAACATGGTGAGATTTCAACTTACGGTTGAATGTAAGTCAACTTTTTTATCAGTAAAAAAGACTGAAATGATAATAATAAGGATCAAACTTAAATCTTTACGTATTTATTTGATTCTACCACTAAATTGACCCTAATAGTTAACATGGAAGTTATTTATGATTCAAGTATATAATAAGATGATACAGGTTCAGTTCTTCAAGTATGTAATAGTCCTCATTTTGAATACACAGGTGGACAAAATAGCAGGTGGAGCTAGATTGGGTTTTATCACTATTGGAGATGGGAAAACGGAAGTTAATGTGTATATTGACTGCATGGTTTTTCCACCAACTGATAATTCTGCTCCAATTTTCCGTGCCATTAGAAATGGTCCCTTGAAGGATAAGGCACCACCTGGTGAACCAAGAATTATGAGGAGCCTTCTGCAAGCTCTTCAGAAGTCGGTTGAAATCGCCAGATTGTGAATATTTTGTTTGTTTTTAACTTAATTACTCTTGTAAGGTTTTGACTTTTGAACTAAAAAAAATAACTTGGAGTTTGATTTTTAATTTCATGTATATATATATATATATTGTTCCAATTCATTTATATGTATGTTATATTATATCTTGGTGCTAAAATCAGTTGTCCTAATTGTAAATCACATGATTGATTGGATCAAATGTAACTGGGCATAATACGTTTTGGTTGGATCAAATTAAATCGAAGTTGAGCATAACTTTAAATTCAGAACAAGGTTGTATCTTATATTACAATAAATAGGAGAAATTGAGTTGAAGTGTTACCCAATAATCAAATTTATTTATTAATTATTATTATTATTATTTTGCGATTATCCCTAGTTTTATCTGTTTATATCGCTTCATTATCGGATTTTATTATGTCTAACATAGTATACTTTAGTCGTACAAATGTTAAACTTTAGAGTGAACTGAACTCGTGCAAAGGAACAAAATTTCGCTTAAAAACGAATTATTTAATTTGCTCTATTTTCTTAAAAATTAAGTCAATTCTTCAAGACGTATTTATAAGACAACTAAATTGATTTTTTAAAAATAAATTAATAATAAAATTGTGTTAAATAATATGCTACAAAAAAGATACTTAATATTTTTCATTCACATGTACCATTTTATCTTATATTCTTCCTACAAGTTAGAAAGAAGCCAAAACACATGTAAAAGTGAAAGAGTTAAAATGAACAGACGTTGAAGAAAGGGTCCAACCCAATATTTGAGGATTTTGAGACAAAAATGTATATGTAGATAAAATATTATTACTTGTATTTTAGCCAGAAGATTGAAGACTAAACAAAACGCTATGTATATCTTTCTTAAACTTATAAATCAAAGTTCTCATCATGAACATTGGTAATTGTTGCTTTGAGATATCATATAACAAACACTGCCAGACTACCCTCACCACGATAATCCAACTCTTATTTTCATTCATTAATGAATTTTGAATTTCAAACTGAGTTATAGCTAACAAACATATTCTCCTTTGTGAAGCACGTGCCTAATTTGTTTCGATGCAACATATATGTCCTAAAATGATTTGATACATTGATACCTATATTTTATGGCGGATGTTATGTTACTTGTCAAAGAATGTGAATCATTTTTAATATATCTTATGAGCTTTTCAAAACCTACATAGTAGAAATACATTCTAGATACTTTAAATTAGTATATTGTTGTTTAGTTCAGTAGTAACTTATATAATATACAACATCTTTTATTTAAATTGAAATAATATATAAATTAAATTTTATAACAATGAAAGATAATTAATTATAAAACAAGTTAATAATAATTGTCATTAATTAATAACAATGTACATAAATAAAACTAAAATAATGTACACAAATATATATGTACCAATATGATAAAACTTAAACATAAATATGCAGCTAATGTATACAAATAAAACTAAAAAAATATACACAAATAAATCAATCTTAATTTGTTTCAAGAAAAGGATATGTCCATCTTTTGCGGATATCTTTAATGCCTTCACAGAAAAATGGATATGGATTTCTAAATACCTATACAATTAATTCAAAATAGAGATAATTTAAACATTAGTTGATCATTACATTGTTGTATAATCATTTAAAGTAATTAGTTTGATTAAAAAATGTATTATCTCTCTCCTTGAGTCCCTAATGTCATCGATAATGATGGTGAGCATATGTTTCATCACGTAATAGCTACACTCATGATTATTAATTGGATATGGGCGCTATAATATAAAACATAAATAAATTATATTTAGAATATATTTTAATTGAACTCTAACTATTGTTTAGTTGACATTTGACTTACTTTGGAGACAATATATTGAAGCTTATTCCTAGTTGCTAGAGGAAGCCCCCGCAACATAAGCTTGCTTCCAAAGACCTATGAAAAATAAATGATAAATAAAAAATAATTAAAGAATACAATTTTTATCTGTTTCATGAAATTATAAAAAAAATTGACAACTATTGAAAATAAATACTACGAGCCAATGATGTGTCTAATAGGCAAGTTAGTAGTTTTCTTGTGTAATGAACACAAGATAATTACAAGAAATTGCCTCAAAATTATCATGAGAAGTTGTCAATGTGTATTGCATTTTTTTAAATATTTTTAGAAACTGCTAAATTACTATAAACATAAAATAAAATATAATATAAGTATTTATCCATTCAAATAAGGTGTTAAGTACACTTTCTTTCCTCCATCCTTGAATTAGTCTCTCAAATACTAACACATCTTAGTGTCTTTGTTACCAACACACTAGATGGTAACCAGGTTGATAAAATCATAATAAAAGGCTTTTTGCATGCCCACAGCCACAGGACGAAGATACTTATAATTGTGAAAAGAAACATAATGTAAAGGAATGTGTAATTGAATATATTAAATTAAGAACCATTACAAATAATACTCACCTAATAAGCTCTCAAACCCACACCAAGTACCCAAATATGCTTAAAGTTCTCAATCAAATAGTGTTCTTGATCGAACTCAACAACTCTTAGCAACATAGAAATTTCAATCAAACAACACTAGTGTTCAAAATTGGAAGGTTGAGAGAAGAGAATGAACCTAGCTGGAGCACACGTAATGGAGAAGGGAGAACGGATTGAAGAATGTCTTCAAACTAAAGAACTTGGAAAAATAGAGTTCTCTCCAAACACACATTATCCACCTTAAAAACCATGGAAAAAGGAGGAAAAAACTTCGCACCTGGTACCACACACGACAAAAATTGGAAGAAAAAGGTCGCTAGAGTGATAAGGAACGAAAGGCGAACTGCATGTTAGAATGTTCTAATCACAATTGTCACTGAAAACTATGGGTAACGTGCATAGAGAGTCATCAGAAACAATATTATCTTTGTTGTCAGAGAGAAAAATAAGAAGAATAGTAGAGAGTGCAAATGGTTTCACACCTTTTAGTGACCTAATAACAAGACATTATATGGTGAGAGATGATTTACTTGTCATAGAATGTGAATTTTCTATGACAGGTAAACCAACACCTGTCATAAAATGGTTATAACCAAATGCTGACCAACACATTCTATGACGAGTGTTGACTTACCTAAGATAGAAAGAACATTCTATGATGGGTAAGTCAACACTTATCATAAAATATTTTGATATATTTATAAAGTATGCCACTGCATTGCTTTGTATGTCATGTGGATGACACCTAATGTAGAAAATGTGTTAGAAAATATGTATTTTGGACTAGTGTTATTTTGTATTCAAAATACTCACATGTGGGGGGCATAAAATCGGGAGAAAAAAAGTTAGGTGAATTAATAGTTTTAATTAAAATTTTACTTATAATGAGAAAAACATTTTATCATAAAACTTCTTTGTATTTATATCCTTTTTTTTTCTTTGTGTAAACTCATCTATATATTCTCAACTCATTCTAAATATTTGTAAAATAATTAATAATATAATAATGTACAATTAAAAAAAGAAAAAAATTATTTGATTCAAACACTCACTACATGAACCTCACTAACAAAAACACAAAGTGGTGAGAATTTATGTTTTCAAGTCAAATTAGTAGAGGCTATTTTATGTTTTTTGTATCCTATACATATAACTGTTGAATGAATATCCAGGCACCTTTTTGTTGATAACCCTAGACTAGTAGATGTTATATTTTCCGTTGCATTGTAAGTTGTATCATATTAAGTGTAGTGACCGGTCAGATTGTTATAAGAAATTTTGCTCCTCTTCAATTAACCTTATTCAATTAACAATTTTTTACACAAAAATAATAAATACTTAAAATTAATTATCTCTCTTAATAGGGTTAAAGATGAATATATATATATATATATATATATATATATATATTATGACAATGAATGAATTGATACTACTTTATTTTTTTCTATTTAACTTTTACGATTTACATGCACAAACCAAGAAATATAATAAAATTTCATGATCTTAATAAAATAGTTATAAAGCTTTCAATTTTATCTTTTGTATTTCAACTCTAGAATAAATGTATAATAAATTTTTTTCATTTTCACTTTCTCAAATAAATGTGACAAGTAAGGGTATAAGTGGTAAAAGTGTAATTAATGTTCTCTGGAATTAAAAAAAAGGCATAAATAGAAACAAAATTGTTTCAAAATTAAGACAAGTAAAAAGGAATGGAGGGAGTACTTCATAACTCTCTCATTTCCTTTGACATTATTCTCTTTCTAATATTAATTAATTAGGTAAAAAATAATAAAATGAAAAGAGATAGGATTAATTTCATAAATGTTAAGTGTAATTTTTAAAATTATTTCAAACTATTAACAAATTTAATGTTAATAACTAAATTATTTAATTTTCTTAAAAGACATAATTAGTTGAAAAAATCTTGTATACAGCAACAAAGATAATAAATATATATAAAATATATAAATATATTTGTATAAAAAAGATAGAGATGAAGATAAAACACAAAAACTTTGTGGTTGTTTATTTGTCTTGTAATTATATTTACACACGATTTTCAGTACAACATATACATATATAATTAGATAGTTTTGCTTTATTATTTACATGTATTTTTTTTATTCATTGGAATGCACCCCCAACAGTTAATTTAGCCATTTGAATCAAACAATTATATATATACTTTACAAATATAATATATTATTACTTATGACCTAATTATATGTAATAATAATTAATTTTTAAAATTATTCATGTTAATTTTTTTTTATATCTTTTATTTATTATTAACTCTATTTTCTATGCATTCACATATAACTCACATTAAATATAATAATCATTTAAAGTAAATGATATATTTGGGATAAATTTGAATTATGGTAGAATTAATTAAAAGTAATTACATTAATTAATTTTCTTGATCTTAATGATTTGTTCTGTTACTTATAATTAAAACTGACGTAGTATTATTAATTTTTATTTTAAAAAAATTTATCCTATGATTTAGGGTTTAGGGTTTAGGGTCACCATGAGTTGGTGACCCTAAAGTGAGCTAACCCAACTCACATAGATTGGCTCATCATGAGTTGATGCTTTAAATGAGTTAATCCAACCTAATTCACTTTCTAGTAGTTAGAAAAATTTCAACTCGGTTCGACTCACTACGAGTTGGTGAGTTAGGTAGGTTATCTCACCAAATTTTTTAAAATTAAAAAAAATTTAATCACCTGTTCCTATTTTTAATAAATAAAATAAAGAGTTATAATTTTTTATATCAAGAAATCAAGTCCATCATTGGTTCAAATGCAAACATATAAGAAAATATCAATCAAAATTACAAATAATAACTATATATATATATATATATATTAAACGGACCAATCTGACTCATTTAGGCTCAAATCCGTTTCAGTTACGAGTTAAGTGAATTGAGTATAATTTTTTTTTCCTAACTCGACCTGGTCTAGACTCGTGAATTGAGTTAACCGAATGTGTTTGACTCATTTTGACACCTCTAGTATCTTGGATCCTCCACTAAACCTAGGCTCTGCACATATTGTCACATCTCTCCACCACTAAGTTAACCTTAATTGTTACTTCCTCTGCACTATTATAAAAAAAAAATATTTTTTATTCTTAAATATAAACAAATTTTAATTACTTTTACATCATTTAATGACACTCTCCTTAAAATATTTATCATTTAATACATGATTTTTCAATTGCAATGCCTTTTCCCCCCTTTATAATAAGGACAATTTAGGAACAATATTATGGAATTATTACAATTTAATGCCAAATAACTAATCTCCATAATATGTGTGAAATTAATTTTTTTATACTTATATTAGAGAACAAATGGAGTAATTACTATTTACATGCACATAAACATATACTACCTTTGGTCTTAATTATAAGCAACATACGACAAATTATAAAGACTAAAAAAAATAATTAATATGATTATTTTTAATTAATTCTATTATAAATTAAAGTTTTATTCCAATATACCTTTCCTTTAAGTGGTTGTTATATTTAATGTTAATTATACTTGAATGTATAAGAAATATAATTGAATTAATAATTATTGTTTATAATAAAGACAAAAAAAATATATTTTTTTGCTTAAAATTAAGATGAAAGGTAGTATAATTTTACTATTGTATTTTAGTTGATAATTAATTTTATTATTCACATTAATTAATTATTATCTTATTAATTATCAAAGACATCATTTTTATTCTCTAAAATATGTAAATATTTGTTTTTCAACCCTCAATTTTAAAATGTTTATTTTTGGTCCTTCATTTTTTAAAACGTGTCAGAATTTACCTCCCTTAAGTAGTGTTTGTTTCCAGGGATTTACTATTCATGAGCAAAGAAAGGCGAAGAAACTTGTTGTTCGTTTTCGGTGATTTGCGACGACGGAAAGACGAAGAAAAGGAGGAAGAAGCGTGATTCGCGTCCTCGCTTTTGTGCGAAGAAAGGAGAAGAAAGCCACGTAAGATTTATAAAAACCCAGAAATACCCTTTTGCATGCATGCATAGTGTACCATGCAGTGAAAAAAGCATATACGAAGGAAACATAATCGATTATGCAAGAATACATAATCGATTATGACTTTACATAATCGATTATGTTGAAGCATAATCGATTATGCAAGGGCATAATCGATTATGTAGCCTTGCATAATCGATTATGCTATATATATATATACAATATAATCGATTATGCTGTATATATATATACAACATAATCGATTATGCTGTATATATATATATACAGCATAATCGATTATGTTATATATATATATACAGCATAATCGATTATATTGTATATATATATACAGCATAATCGATTATGCAAGGCTACATAATCGATTATGCCCTTGCAT